TTCTTCCGCATACCACGGGATGACAGGTGTGTTAAAGCTTTTGTATGGTTTGCATGTCTTTAGGCTTACTGTTCGTACTTGCTCAGTGAGGGTAACAATAAAAAATCACTATTCAAGCACTTCCCCTTTCAGCTGATAGTTCATCGCCAATGCAGGATGAAAGCATGGATGCAGTATGCTGGACGCGATGATCTCCTTAGTAAGCCGGCCAGCCTATTCTACGCAACGTACAGGGTTTGTAGCGACCATTTTGCTGCTCAAAGTTTCATGGACCCTGGGCACACAAGGCTTAAAAGAATAACTGTTCCCAGTGTGCAACCAGCTGCACCATGTAAGTGATTGACTGAAACTCAAATATGTGCAATAGCAGCCACTTGTATTGAATCAGTGGCGACAGTTAACCGTGAAGATCTCTGTAGCCGATGGAGAAGCCTCACTATAGAAGTAACACTTGGAAAGTCTTAAATTTTGTGAATTGTGGGCTATTACCTTCCTAACAGCAGCTTTACATTTCTGTCGTTTTTTGATGCTCTTGACCTGCGCAACTTGTTTTAAAAGACTTTAAAGGGCTATTTCACGTTATCTTCAAGCCTGAGTGCACATGTACGTAAACCTTTCATCAGTGAAAGCTGCCACTGTTTGAATACCTGAATTTTGAATACCTGTTAACACGCAGGCTTCAACAGGATCCTCTGGAGAACATATTTGGCCACATTAGGCGAAAACAGGGTTGCAACACCAACCCCAATGTAGCACAATTTATTTGTGGCCTGAAGCACATCTGTATAAGAAAACTATTCAAGCTGTCAGAATACGGAAATGTCGAGGATGATGAATGTGACCTCCTCCAGGAGCAGCTCTCGTCATTCTCCCTCACCAGTGCGTCTCTTGTGGATAATGAGGAGTGTGCACAGCCACAGCCTGACGACTTTCCCGCTCTAGACGATCTCTTTGAACTTGCGACAAACGTTCACTCCCATATTATCGATGACTCCACTGCATATTATGTAGCTGGTTTTCTCATCAAACACTTCCTTCGGAATGCATGTGACGGTTGCAGTTGCCCACAGTTACTGAAAGACGACAGTGAGACACTTAAGGGTACCCACCAGTATTTCACAATGCTCAAAGCATACCACGTCCCCAGCAAACTTTTTGGGAATCTCACTGTGCCATCAGAAGCAGCTTTTGCATACGTACAACAACTTGAATCTCACTTTCTTGCCATAATTGAGGCCACTGCACATCACCTGAAAGTGTGCGATGTTTTGTATCACCATCTGTCAAGTGTTGCCGATTTTCATTTTTGCTCTGCTGGGTGTCGAGCGAAGTTTCTGAAAATGTTTTGCCGGGTTCGTTTATGTTGGCATGTGCGTTTTGTGAACCGAAACTTAGATAGGGTTAGGTTCCAGTCTTCAATCTCAGGCATACAGCTTGACAAGTTCAAAGGTTAGCAATTAGCGGCGGGTTTACACTAAAGTATTCGAGTTGAGCCGAATCCTGCAATAGCTTTGTTATGTTATTACTTCGCTACAGCAGACTTCATTATGGTCTTATATGCTTATATTCAGCTCAACTGGAATAGCCACTCCTTCGTTGCATACATTGTTTAGGTTACCCGCTATGAGGAGTAGGGACACTGTGTATTCGCTCGAAGTGATTTGCATAACCTTAAAAAGAATGTTGGGTATCCTGTCTGTATTTTTGTAGCAAATGCGGGCGAACTGTACACTTTACTGTGGCTCGCTTGGTCACTGTGTATGCTTTATCTCTCCAGCTCAAGTAATATATCGATAACAAAACCGCTTGTTGAAATGTCTTCGAGCGGGTGAGGAACACAGTATGAAGTGGGCACGGTTCACGTTATCACGCTTTTCGTATTTTAGTTTCTCATCAACCTCTTCATCTCGCCCATCAAAATTTTCAAAAGAATACTCAAACTTGTAGCGTTTGATGGGGCTGCGGACGCTGCCATTTTATTTTTATATAGCTTTTGAGTGATAACGTACGATGTAGAGCCTTTGTGAAAAATAGTGAGCCAAAGTGGTTTCCTTCTGCCATTTATTAACCCTGTAATACCGCTCTCGTAGCACCAATTAAGGTCCACAATTCTGGATAAGTGATGACTACAATCTATTTTAGCTCGCAAGCGTCACAGCAACACCCAGACGCAAATCACTTGGGATCTTAAGTTTTTGATGAAGGCGACGCATAACAAAAGCCACAAAACCTGCCAGTGTTGTAGCATAAAGTTTGTCTTTCACGTAGTGAGCAAGCTGCAAAGCCCTACCTTTCTGAGGACAAGCAGGCAGCAAGTCTGCTTTTTTTCATTTTTGACTAGCTGTTCTTAAGCACAGCCAGCACACTGCGCCTTTGCCTTTCTGCTATATTGTGTCGTGTGGTTTCTGTGTGCTCTTTTTTTATATGCATTATTTCGGTTAACCCCAGGCGTGATTCGCGACTTCATTCCTGTGTATATGTCACTTCTTCCTTCTTCATCAGCATTGTGCGCTGTGTTTTTGCCATAGATCCTCACTTACCCACTGGCCCAGTGTGTCATACATCACCAGCTTCTCGGCTTCTGCCAACTCTAGCGATGTGTGCGTTGTCTGTGTTCTCTCTGTATTTGTTACAATTTATTTGTAAGGCGAGATGCATTTGTTGTCTACCTTTGTCATATGGTGCTTTTTATATTTTCAGACTCTACCTTGCCTTTGAATAAAACTTTGAAACTTTGAAACGGATACTCTGTCTCTTTCACTGATATATACATTGATCACTCGTTCCAAAAGAAAACACAAGCGCAATGAATAAAACCGTAGTGAATTATCATTACCTGCATTTCTTTTTATTATAACTTAATCGAAATAAAAATTACGTCACGACCGATTCGCATGAACCACTGAACAAAACAAAACAGGGAATCACTGAATCAAAACGACCTACAAAAACTATTCATTTGGGCGATGAATAGTGGTCTGAAATCATGAACTTTCGTCATAGCCAAACGTTGGTTATGCAAAGTAATTCAAAATTTGCGCCAGTGAAACCGAAACAGGAAGCGCACGCCACTTGCTCTCACCAACCACTAGGTGTGCTAGGGTCGATTGGGCCGCTGGGGTCTACGGGAGTGTCCACTCTTAACCATTATTTCTCTATGGTTCTGTGTGGGTAACGCATCGGCTCGAAATGCAGCATGTCACATTTCGCGCCGGTTGTCATCGGGCTGCGCCGACGGACGATGGTCGGCCCGGTCGCGCCTGGCGTCCGTCGCTGTGCCTAGCGTCCGTGCGCGTCAATGTTACGTTGAAGTACATTGAGCCCTTCATGACGCGCTTGAAGCCGTTTCGCTATCTCCACATGTACGAAATTTAGTGTTACGTGACGTCAATGAATGACATAAGTATATGACTGGTGCAAACTCTATAATTCTGACACGCGTGTCAGTAAAATCATGACAACATACCCGCTCATAGCGTGCTCACGGCTGTTTCGCTAACTTCACATATACTAAAGTTGGTATCACGTATTGTGAATAGATGACGAAGGTAAAAGACACATCCAAACATGATAAACATGGCACAAAAGTCATGTGCGGCATTATTTACCTCGCCTCATAATGTTGTGCTCATTTTAAAGTGACATATCAACATTTGTCATTCGTGCTTCGCATATCATCGACTCCCGCTGTACGTGGAATCTGCCAATTTTTATTGCTATTTTATCACCTTCACTGTGGAGACATGCCTGTAGGTTTTTGTGTAGATGTGTGCTAAGGTATTCAAATAGGCTCTAGGGGCTTCACGTCAACTTAAGTGCTTGTAGGAGGCTGCTGGTACTACTACTGAGTCGAATACCTCGTAGCAGTGCATCGAAGTTACATAAAGGGGTTCCTTGTATGCAGCAGTTGTCTCGAATACTTGATTTATTACGTGAATATGATCCAGTGTAGAGTACGCTGCCTTTCTTGAAGGGGGCTTTCCCTTCGGTTGGGGAAGGCAAGCGTTTCTATGAATTTTTTTGAAAATTTTAAGTTGTATGTTGACCAGTTTACTTTCGATTAAACTCTTCATCAGAGTCAGATTTCCACATATACTTGTAAACTTTGGCAGGAAAAAAACAGACATGATGATTAGGGCACAGTTCGTCTTAAGTATTCGTCTAGTTCGCCGACTTTCACAATTACGCATTGTTTTCATATTTTTTACTACCACCCGCCTCTCTACCACTCTGTAGACATATTCAAGACCACTGACGCTTATCGCTTTGTGGGCTATCAGTAGCTCGCCATCTGCTTTGACGCCACGGCCGCGATGGTCCGGGTGCTTTATCTCGCTACTGGCTTCACTGAACCGAAGCCGTATGTGTTCTTGCGGTATGCGTTTGCTTTTCTTGCGAGCTCTTTCACTATCCTGCCTTAAGAACGAGCTCTAAAAATGTTCACTGTAAAAAAAAAAGGCCATCGCACCAGCTTCAGCTTTGAAGGTCCACGGAAAAGGGGTGCACCTGATTTTTTGTATTTGTGTTGCTTCTATGTTAGAATTACAGTAAAATCTCGTTAACTAGTTTCCTGTTAATTTAAAAAATAAGACATTTTGGACGGACACTCTTGACTTGGTTCACATATTCATTGTTCAAGACCGTCAAACTTTCATCAATTCACTCATAGTGCACGCTCCAATCTGGTTAATTAGTATGATCTTCAGGGCACGCCACGCTTAATCGCTGAAAAGGTGCGATGCAAAGAGGGACAACAGCGTTCAAGGAAAACCGAATAAAGGCGGCAGAGCCCGCATCGACATCGTTATCAGCGTGAAGCGAGCGATGAGGACGGTAACGACGTTTCGGGCAAGCACGTTTCGAGTTTGTTAAAACAATGGTGAAAACAATGGCGGCTCCATTAGGAACAGTCTCAAGAGTGGCGAAAGTTGCGGCTTTGACGACACTGTTATAGAAAATAGGTACATGACTTACGTATTCATCAAGAAAATGAAAGCTTATTGATCTAGAAACTTTTGTTTATTGTTTTCTCAAAAATTTTTATAGCTCAGAGTTTGATTATTTCCGACATTTTCTCCAGTCTCATGAAAGCTTTTGGTGTGGATTACTCTGGGCTACCAAACTAGGCCCAACCCCTTTTCTTGCGAAAAAGAACATTGCTTGAATATTAGAGAATTTCCAATATAAGCAAACATTAGACACTATCTAGCATCACTTACTCAGCACTGTCTAACTGTCAGAAACAGTCACCTAAAAAGATGCACTGCAATAAAGAGGAGCTTCAATGAAACGTCGTTCGGGTCTAGTTGGCGCATATTCCTGAGGTCGATTCTTATAAGCATATTGCTGAGGTTGATTCCTAGTACATATTCTTGGGCCTGGAGCAGCGCTTGTGCCATTTTGTTTCTTCTTCGGGCGGCGTCTTGTGTGCGCAACTTTTCTTTTTTCCTACAGTACAAGAAGACAGATTTCGTTGCGAGATTTTTTAGCAAAATGACCGACGATGACTTAATTTAACAATTACAGGCAGCAGTTACGTAAGAAGATCTAAGTATGAACACTGCATATACCACACACCGCAGCTTTGTGAGGTTGCTCTAATCAGCCCCACTCCCACCGACTATAGCTACAGATGATCATGAGAGCTGTGAACTAAGTGAACGGCTACGGTTGGTTACTAATGATAGATCCGAAGTCGAAGTCCAAAGTTAGGACTATTTACGCGATAAACTGTGATCACTTTTTTTTCTGTCTATCTGCTTTCCATATACCATATCCGGGATCAGCCGCTCCACATTCGAGCTGAGTTTCGCTAAGTTAGGTGACTAGACACGTACTAATAGTTGAGAAGGATGAACCTCACCTGTGCGAAGCAATTGTTGGCACCTGCTGTAAAGGCTGATGCTTGTCACGCCAGTCAACTGAACCCCTCGCTCCAGCTCGGCAACCCGAATATCGCTGACAGAAATAGGATCTCGTAGATGGCACAAAGAATCCCACACACAGTAATGAGGCCTCTTCACTGTAACACCATGCTGCAGCGCATCTACCAGCTAATAAACATACGCAGTAGAGTGAAAAATAATGTAGATGCAAAGAACTCATTGCGCATGCGCATGCATGGGGCGCCGCAAGTTAATACTACACACGTGCGATCTAAGTGATAGACAAATGTTGGGAAATGTCAACTTGCCTGTAGGGGGGCGTCACTGATAGCCCAGAGCGGCTCGTAACACGTTTACCCTAAGGGTACACGCGAAATACAACTACGCAGTTCCATGCAAGAGACATACAAGAACAGTAATCCATCTCTTTTACACTATTGTAATCTGTCTTTTTGCACAATTATTCACAACAGCAGGCCACCAATCACTCTCGCACAAACTAATTCACCCACACCATCTGACATCTGCTAGTGTATTCGAACTCAAGCCAGCAGCACAAGTATGCGGTGCCACATCAGGTTGGCTGATATGGTGCTTCACTTTAACGCATTATTGATTTATATAAGGAGCTACAATAGGGCACCTTTTGAAAGCCAGCATAAAGATTGTTTTTGCTAATTTGTCGCCATCAGGTTGAGACAAAAATAGGAGATTTCAATTCATTCATCTCTTCCCCCCCCCCTTTTTTTTTGCTGATACCAGCACACGCTATGCCACACAATCGACATAAAAAAAGAAAATGGTATTATGACTTTCTTCTCGTAACAACCTGCAAAAGTAACTTTGCTTTCTGGGAGTAAACATAAGAAGTACACAGTTCTTGAAATCTAACACGTTGGATTTTTGGCTGTGATTTTACTTCACAGTCAGCGTGGCTGTAACACTGCTCTTTAAACAATGGCTAGATAACTCTGACTGTGTAACGGAATAATGGCGCCAGAAAGAAGCACCCCCCCCTCTTCCCACTGTTGGTAATTAGGGGGGGGGGCGGAGTCACCTCCCTCACCCCCCCCCCTCAGGTGCACGTATATGTTTCCCGAGTCCTTCCATGCACTTTTTATACTGTTGTGGGGCAGAAAGTATGAAGAGTTGGCAAACCTAACTAGTTTATTGCCTCCAAAACTGACTAAGCTTTTGAATTCTAGGAAGGCCTGGCAAAAATGTAGTTAATTCTGGCTATAGCTGAATAAGCGACTCCCGATGCTGCGTTATGCCAGCTAGCGTAAAGAAGTCTTCTCTTCCCCTGTTTTCACAGCTAGTATTCATTCAAAGCCTATAATTTATTTGATTTTGCTGCAGGAATTTTATGACTAAGTGTTTTATACGTGCATGCATATACATAACAGGAGACATCTGTAGTCTAGTCAAAGCAGCCACTTGCGTGGAAGTTTATTCAATATATTCTAAATGCCTAATCAAACTTCTTGCCAAGTTTTTTTATTGTTCTTTATTGTAAAAGAATATATTAGTTTAATGATGTTTTCTTGACAACGTAATGAAGTTGTGATGTTTTTTTTTTCAGATCCACGATCTGATCCACATCATATTTCGGATCCAAGGAACGCAATGCGACACTCTGGTGTGCACATTAGGATGGTAGTACTTAGTACAGCCCACTGAGAAAGAAATGACGCCAACTTGAAAGAACTTGCGAAGACTCTTTCTCCAGATCACCACTGGGCCTCCAGAGTCACCCTGCATGGACGCCAAATATGAGAAAGACACCAAGCAGAAGTGCAAGTGAGGAATCATTACGTGGCTCCAGCTGTGGGGTTGACTGCAAATTGAGAGAGCATATTTCTAGGCAGCTTCGAAGCTGGCAACTTCTTGTTTTGGAATAAAAGTGGACTTTGCGCTCAGGTTTATCAGAATCTTATAAAGGGTGTTACAGTGCCAGCCTGCTGACAAATTGGGTGGTACTTGTCAAACAATCCGAATATTGACGGATAATGGCAAAGTAAACGCTTCCTTGCTACACAAAAAATTACCGTTATTTTAGGCGTAGTGGGCACCTCGCAAATGTACTTGCATTAGTTGCCAAAGGATAATGTTAACTTATGTAATATAGCCTAGCTTGCGAAAGAGTAAAATAGCGAATATGTATGACATAGAGCAGATTTCGTAACAAGTAGGTAGAGTAAAGCTCCCAATCGATTGCGAACAGCTCAGTCATAATACTTCATCGTCAGCTAGCGCATCAACAATGTGTCCCTAACGCCTTGCAAATTTGTAGCGGGTATCTTGCTTCTACAAAGAACAACTAACAATGATAATTTTGCACTTATCCTCATCAACAAGAGTATGAACATTTATAACGTAGTGGGTGTGATGTAAGTGCAGTAGTCAGCTGAAGACTGTTTAGATACTGTTTTAGAGAGGTTTCTTACAGCTTTCGCCGTCGTGAGACTGTACTTCTCATAGCTTGCTGGCCCTGCGCCTTTTTTAAAGACGATTGTCTTTCTTGGGTACCTTCAACGCGAAAACTTCAGTCTGACCTTAACGGTACCCTAAACCGCACCAAAGTGGCCAAACCATACTCCAAATGGCCGAACCCATCCGCAACACCCGCCAATGTTGCTCAAGATTCAGCGATCAAACTTGTGGGATTGTCAATTAAAAGGCAATTATTGCGCATATCTGAGGCACCATAAAAACACGTCAGGATTCTGTATGTGTGTCTCTTACTAGAAAAGGCATACATAAGTAATTATAAGGACCGTAGCGTTTGTCACGTATCGCTGACAGTGCAACGTTTGCACGAAAAGGCAAGCATTTGCAACGCTTTGCTAAGACGACACGGTGGTGGACACCTACCCGTCGTCTTGCGCTCTGCACTTTATCACTTCAGAGACGGACGCGCACGTAACAGGCTTCGTTTTCTAGGATAACTGCCAGATAGCGCTCACGTCTCACGTGTGACGTGACTTGATGCGCTCAGTTCAGCCTCCGGTGCACGCTCTAGGCACTCTAAAGCAGCACCTCCGGAATACCACTTCACCGATTTTCTTGCACAGAACATCAAATAAACGTTTAGTTCACTCTCTTCAGACACAAGACTATCGTCTTCGACGACACTGGCAGTGTAACATGCGGACTACTGGGGCCAATGTTTTTTTCTTTTTAATCCACTTCCATCTACATCCTATGTTAAACTATGGTCAGCTTTCTGTGAAGGCTGCGACAAAGTTTAGACTTACTCCTAACCAAAGAAAAACATGAAGTAACTTGAAACTGACACTGGCATGATATAAAAAGATAATATGGTAAATTGTGCTCCTAAATCTTTGCTCGAGCATTCGCTATAAAACTAACGCCTCGAAAACAAATTTGACCATATTTGGAAGAGGTAGTGCTTGCCTGACAGACTCCCTTGCCGTTCGTTTCTGTGCATATGACTTAGCACCGGTGAAATACTGCTGCACCCACAGGGTGGAAGGCTGGCGAGAACCTCCCGAAAAAGGCAAGAATTTCGTCTCGAGGTAGCGAAGTCTATCCGTACTCTTGCCACCTGAGTTACAAAAATAACACTCTGTAAAGCCTGCATCGTTGCAAATTCCTTGAGCATTGATAAAGAATTAAGAGCACCATTAAGGGCTCGTCTCTCATACTTAGACATGACACAAGTAATCATGAAGGCTAGTAGCCTTGCCGTCCTGGCTACTAGCGGCGCTCAATAGCTCAACGAGGATTAAACGCGCATATACAAATTCAAGTTCATAGGCTCAAAATTGCCGCTCTACCTCAGTTGGTAGACCATCGGACGCGTTATTTTAAGGTCACAGATTTGTTCGTTGCCAGCGGCAGCATGTGTTTATATGTGAACAGGTGAAAATATGTGAGCAGTTCAGTGTACGATAACGAAACGGCATAGACAACGGAGATCCGTGTGAACCCGCGTGCAGTTAGAAGGAATGCGACGAACCTTTCTGGCTCTAAACTTGTGCGTTTTGAGATGTCACGGACCCCTGGTTCACAATGTGAGTGAAATTGAAATAAGTATTTATATTCCGCACCTCTTTTAAAGATGGATGGCAAAACTTTTATTAGAGTGAAAAAAATAAAATAAAATAAGTGTTAGAAACATGTGGGTGAGGTCTCTAGTCCAGGGCTCCACTGGCCTCAGCAGCCCGCTGCACCTGGTCCAGGAGTGCCATTTGGGCCTCTTTTTCCTCACTGGCAAGCAAGGTCTCCCACTGCTCAATCATAATATTTTTCTCCGAAATATGTGACGTAGTAATTTTAGCTGGCCTCAACTTACATTCCCAAGTAATGTGAGCAAGTGTTGACTGTCCTCCACACCATGGGCAAGAACCCACGTATGCGCTTGAGTGCATCGCATGTTTTAAACGCAGGTAAGGATATGTAGTTGTCTGCAGGCGGCCCCACTCATGTGCTTCTTTTACACTCAGCCGAAAATGGGGCGGTGAGTATCACCGTCGTTGTCGACGCTGGTGTTCTAAGATATCTCGAAGGTTGTGGGGAGCCTGGAGTTGCCAAGGGGTATCTGGACGAGGGACGGTTGCTCAGCGAGCTGCCCTGTCTGCTCTATCGTTACCCGTTTCTGCTACACGTCCAGGGCATCATCTGATGCAATGTTCCAAACCTCTTTTAAAAATTCAGCAGCAGTTGTAGTTGAACACAGTGAACCCAGAGAAAGGGGCAGAGAAACGAAAAGTAAATGCACCACCATGGCCTGGCACTCGTAAGGGCACCAGTGTCAACGTTACCACGAATCCGCCACTTTAGAGTGAAAGCCTATGGTGTCTCAAAGAACGCAATGGTCCACCTCCGCACAGGTGCCTAGCCATTTTGATCGCAAAGCAGCCTGACACAAGTAAGTACTGAGAGATTGCAAAAATATACCATCGCTATTCGCATCAACACAAACGATGCAAAAGTGACGCGATCACAGTATACGTTTTGGTGACGGATGCAGAAGTCGCTCGCTCACAGTGTACGTCTTGATGACGTCACGCAAGACGTATTTATGATGCCATATGTTTCCAAACTTGTTCCGATGGAAGCAGGTCATTGTGAGGTCAGACGTCAACGCGTCGAACGGCAACTTT